GGCAAAGTACTAGCACTTTCCATGTTTGTTTCCTGTTCTTCATCCACTTGCCACACCCTGGGGCCCACTTTAGTGCTGTGCACAGTTCTCTGGCTCTTGTATGGGTTCTAGATTTAAAGAGAGCATGTATTAAGAGTTGGCAGAACCTTTCTCCAGGGTACCATTAGTTGTGTGGGGCTGTGTGAGCTGCCAGATGTTGAGAACCACAGTGAGGCAAGAGGATGGTGCTGGAAGTCAGAGGGCTGGTGTCCTGAGTATAGCAACAGTTAGGATGCATTGGCACGTAGGTAGGTGCTTCTGGGCACCAAATCTCACCTGTCTCACTTCTTTCCTGATGCCAAGGAAGGCAGAACTGCTAGGGAGGAGAAATGTGGACCCATGAAGCAGATTCTGTCAAACCTGGAAGTTCTTGGGATCCCGATAAACTGGGTCAGTAAGCCTTGAGTCATAGGCTGTGGAAAGGCAGGCAAGACAATGGCTGAGGCCTCCTCCACAGGACAGTTTCTGTAGGTCTGGCTCTGAGGTGATTCCAGCCCTGGGAACCAAAGCTGCTCTGTTCCCAGCCCTGACTCTGTTCACTGGATGCTGGCTGGGTGGTCTGGCTGAGGGCTTCCCCAGTGGCTCAGGGTCAGACTCAGACACTGGTTGGCCTCTTTGTGTCACAGAAGCAGCTCCTAGAACCTTCCATGTTCTCCCATGTCTGGCCAGTTGCTCTTTAGCTGCTCAGGACAGAGCTCAAAGGTCGTACTCTTCTGTGCTGGCTCCACCATAAGTGGAGTTCCGCTCCCCGTCTCCTGACTCTTAGTTTTTCACCCCATCCATGGGCTTTTGTCCCTGCTGGCCCAGGAAGATCCACTTTTCTGGCCTCTGACTATGTGTCTAAATCTGTATGCACTAGCAGCCCGTTGAGGACAAGCCCAACAGTTCTGCTTAGCTGTGACATACCCTTAGCAACTCATAATTTCTGCCAGATCTTTACAAATCTACACCATTATGTACATAACATTTTTATTTACATATGCCCTAAGGGAGGCCAGACATTTCACCTGAAAATCCACACCCCATCTCCCTGGATTCCTGCTGGGTTTTACTTTTAATGTATCTAGTCCAGGTCTGTAATTGTGCCTGTTACTTTGCTTCATATCTGTACCTGGCCCTCCTCTGTTAAAGGTGACTGTCCACTCATGTGGTCTTTCTGCTTAGCTACTGGCATTCTTTATTTTTACCCTTGCTTCTTAGACACAGCATGCCAGTAGAGTTTGTGTTTTAACCCTATATATTAGTTTGTCTTTATAGTTGGCATTTATTTGGTATGGTAAGTACTTCTTAATTCTGTCTTCTGTATCTTTGTTATCGTGTTTTAGCACTGTTCTTGTTTTTCTTATTTTTGATGGTTTATCAAGTTCATTTCGGTTTTCCTTCTGTGGATAAGCATTTTTCCAACACTTCCGTTCCATTCATTCTTTCTCTGTGCTCAAAATCTGATTCATATTTTGTATTTTCCTCTCAAACAGTACACCTTTAAGTGATCCCCCACTCCCTACGTGCTAGCCTACTGCCAGATAGGCAGACCTGTGGAGCATCTCCAGAGAGCTTCTGGCCCTTCAGACTTCCCTTTCTCCTTCTCCTGAGTGACACTACAGATGCTCTTACCTCTGTGAGCCTCTACACCATGGCCCATTTCCTGGGGCTGTGGAGCAAGCAAAGCTGGTCAGCTGTAGCTGTGACCAGGATTCCCTCACAGCAAGATCATGCCTTGGCAAGAGCTGTTTACCACAAAGACAAGGAACAGCAAACTGACCAGAGGGCCAGACTTTGCCTAGACCTGTTCTTAGATGGCTTGTGAGTTAAGAATAGCTTTTTGCCTAATGAGCTGAAAAACATTTTTTAGAAAAGAATATTTCATGACACATGAAAACTAAGTGAAAGTTAAACTTTAGTGTGCACTAATGCAAAGTTTTATTTGAACACAACCATATTTAGGTGCAGCTCCCCACTGTTTCTGGACCTTACTAGCAGGGAAGCAATTGAGGCAGAGACTGAACAAAGCGTTAGAGGATTGCAACTGCAGGAACGCTGATGGCCGACAGTCCACCCCCCCCCCCCCCAATCTAGAGATTTGTTTGTTTTTGTTTTCTTGAGAGAGGTTTGCAAAGTTTCTCAACCTTTTACTTTCTATCCTGTACTCTTTGGAAGGAAATCATATAATCTCTGCCTTAGTGGAGAATGATACTTTATTTCACCTTTGCAAACTTTTCTATGTAGTTCAGGCTGCCCTGGAACTCCCTATGTACACTAGGTTGTCTTGAACTCACAGAGATTCTCCTGCCTCTGCCTTTGGAGTGCTAGTGATTTCTGTTAGTAGTGTAGACCCCTCATATGGAAACAGATGAAAGGGTGAATTGTGGAGGCTCAATGGGGTGTGGGGTATCATCTTATTGAGCCCCATTGGCAAAGCCCTGAGCTTGCAATTATTTATGTTAACTCAACATACCCTAACATTACAATATTCTTAACTCATATAAAAGCAATGATTAGAAAAATGAGAAAATTTAAAATAGTATATTCCATCACTGTAGATACAAAATAATTAAAAATGGGAATGAAGCTGGTATCAAAGTTTCTGGGTGGCTCATCTGTTAGCCAAGCAAAAAGAGCTATTTACTAATGGTAAGTTAGTTAAATTGTGTTTGAATGTACCTGGTGAAAAAAAAAGTATCCAGAGAAAATAAGCTTACTTAGGATGACTAGATTTGGAGTAAGAACTGTTGCTCAGGATGGGTCTAGGTTCCACTTACTCTGAAGAACACCCATGCATTCAGGCACATATATAGGCAGTAGAGCAAGCACAGCAGAGACTGTGTGCCCCCAAAGTTAGTGTCTCCTGGGTGCCAAGCACTGGCTGCAGGACCTTGATTAACATTATGTTTGATCCTGCTTCTATTTCAATTTCAGCCTCTACTGTGAGGGTGATCTAGGCCTCCTTCTTGTGTATCCAAGGACTGACATAACATATGAAGTCCACAAAGCTGACTACGAAAGATGACACCTTTACAAGCGCAGGAACAGAAGGCCCTGATGCCTTCATCCATGCTCAGATGGTAAGTATTCACTCACACCTAGCTATGAAGGTAGGATGTCTCTTCACTAGAAACATAGGATATCTCAGGTACCTAAGATGACTAAGTGTTCATAGGACACAAAGTCTGTCCGGTGCTGCAGAGCATAGGATAGAGATCTGCCTAGGATATCAGATTTAACCTTTGTAAGATGACCTGACCACCCAGAAACTTTTTTGGCAGAGGCACACCTAGGAATGTCTGTAGTCAGCCAGCACAGCCAAGGATGAGAGTTCAGGATATTTTTTTTGCCTTGCAAAGACTACCCATGTGTACAAGCTTGAGTCAGCATGTCTATCACTACCCTATTGCTGTAGACACAAGACTCAAGTTTTCAGCTGTTCAACATGGACTCCCGCTTTCCAGAAACCTTTCAGGCCTTCATTCTTGGACTGGGGGTACATGATTGATCCCCTGATGTGTACACACACACACCTTTTCCCTATCCCTCTGGGTTCCATTAGAATAACATAGCTGCCCCTCAGAACAAGCTTGCTGAGCACTTGGGAACTATGCTACTCTGGCTTCATCTTAAAGCAGTTCTCAAATGTAAAGGTGCATGCTTCATGCCTGTGAGGTCAGGACTATCTACATTCAGATGGATGTGCCCACTGAGACCAAACAGTCATCCCTGGTGCCTGGAGAAGCCTGTGACTCTCACAACTGCCTATGTGGGATCTGATCCTGTAACTGCAAGTCTATGGTCTGATGCCTCCCTGGACTAAGTATGAAAAGGCTGGTGGCCCTGGGCTGCCCTAGACTAGTGACAGGACACAGATCAGCATGTCTCCAGACCCTTTCTGTTGTTCTTGGGAGGCCGGGGTCAATTCAACAATGTGTTTCCTTGCTCCTCACTAGTTCTTCCTGTTCTCTAAGGGAAGTGACAGGCCCGAGGGAGAACAATTAGATCTGGAGCCATACCAAGAAGACATTATTCTCTGATAGATACTTTACTACAGAATAATTACACCCCATAATGCTACTAATAAATCAAGCTGGATGAACAGCTCCGTGCACTTTATCACCACATCTGCAGAAGCATCTCTGCTGTGCTGAGGTGGATGGAACTCACCCAGGCCAAGGTCCTTAGCTGTGGGACTGATCGAGCAGAAGAGGCAGGGAAGGCAGAGAGCGCTAGCAAATACCCACAAATTAGAAAGAGTCCCAGAAGTGTGTGCCTGTATCCTACAGGTGTGTACTACATAAGGGTCAGGCTTTGTACTAGTCGCTGCACCAAAATGGAGAGGAGGGGCTGCCTTCATGCTGATTTGGTGGGAGCCTAGCTACACCCTGGGACCATACACAGCTACCAAGCCCTGTGGTATAGCCAGAGGGCCAGGTAGACACGATAGTGAGGCCTGGACCCTCAGGAGCCCTTCATTCTAGGTCTGGATTCTCTAGAACTTCAGGAAAGGTACCACATTGTACAGACTCCAATGACTGGCCTGCATCCCAGAGCTTTGTCTAGTCATAGTGACCCCAAGGCGATCAGGAAGCCAGTGACTTTTCTGGTCTTTTCTCCTCTTGTTCCTTATGTCTATGAAACCACTAGCCCTTTCCTACCCTGTAGGCAAAGTAGACCTGGACTGTGCCTAGGTACTCCTACTAGTCATGAGAATCTGGGCTGGGCCTGGCAGGAGCCAGTTGCATGGAGCCCAGGGTCAAGCAAAGGCAGGGGGCTTTGGGAGAGGCCAGTATGCTAACCTGGAGGCTCTGGCTATAGTCCAGCTCTGTGAGGGCATGATGGGAAGCACTCAGGCCGCCCTGTACTCTGGCCTAAACTATCTAGTTTAAAACCTGAGGACTTTTGACTCTGGTCCCAGCCCACACTTGGGCCTAGTACTGAGCAAGGAGAAGAAGAAACCCAAGGGTTGAGCTTACCCGCTCTACAAGACCATGTTTGTGTTTCAGCTTGTATACCCTCAGTGCTGGCAGGAAGCTCTCTGTGTAGTTCTTATCTTCTAGTCCTTGTAGCAAGACACCATGGAAGGCCAGCCGGCATGTGTTGGTATGAATGTCAGCATCCAACCTGGAGCCAATCACCAAGCATAGTCGGGGGCAGGTAACTGGCTTCTCAAACTCCACCAGGGCCCATTGTTGCCTGGGGCACTGGCCCCCTGGGGTGTGGCCTGCTTTCATGTTCACCTCATCACCACCTTCTGTGGCTGTGGGCATGGAGTCTTTGCACAGGTACTGCTCTTGAAAGAGGTATTCTCGGGAGAGGTCAAAGAAATCAAGTTTGGGCTCCAGGTCAAAACTGTCGGGAGCAGGGCTAAAGAACAGCATGCGGCCCATGACTGTCTCATGGCCCACTGTGATATGGAACTTGGCTTTAGTCTGCAGGGGCCCCCGAAAGTAAGGGATCTTTTCCACAGAGATGAGGGCTGCGTGAATGGTGTGCAGAGACTCAGGTGCACACACCAGCCCACGTTCCAGCAGCTTGGGGTCAAACTGGGTGACACAGATGCCCAGTCGATCTCCTTGCATGGCAGAGGTGACGGGTGTGTGGAACATCTGCATGGACTTCACTTTCTTCACCACCTGATCAGGAGCAAGAGAGAGAACACGTAAAATCACAAGCCCTGAAGCTGGGGCTGGGGTGATTCTGCCTACCCATCCCCAGTCCTGGTGGGGGTCTAGGCAAACAGTAGAAGGGAGGCCAGGGTTTAGTCAGACCTCTTTGGGCAAAGAAAGCAGCACCCCCAAGAGTTAAGGCCTGGTGGCAGCATGCATCTTTAATCCTAGTACTCAGGAGGCAGAGGTAGGTGGATCTCTGTGAGTTAGAAGCCAGCCTGGTCTACAGAGCGAGTTCCAGGAAGAAAAAAAAAAAAAAAAAAAAAAGAGAGAGCCAAGGCCCAGGTTAGGCCACTTTCCAACTCTCATCCCTGTGCCAGCACAAGAACAGTGGTCACTCCAGTTCCCTCTGTTCCTTGGAAGCTGCTTCATCCAGGATCTACACCCTCCGGCTTCCTCCTTTTTATCAGCCATTCCAGCACATTTTAGCCCTCTGCATAGCCCTTGACACCTAGTTCCTCAGCCTACCAGTGTGCCATTTGCTTTGAAAACTCAAGTCAGATGACAGGCTATGGAGTCTGTGACTGAGGGCAGGACTTGTCCCTAATTCCTGAGTAGCCCGCTCTTCTGCTTTTCCTCACCCATGAAACCCCCACTGTCTAGCTTGTGTCTGCCTGAGAAGGGTCTTCCTCTGGTTATTTGACATGTTCCCTGTGCCTAACATGTGCCAGGCTCTATTCCAGGGGAAGGACCAGAATCAGCTCTGTTTCAAACAGCTTAATATCTAGAAACAAGAAAAATTATCTACACAGGCCATGCAGATATGTTGTTATTTTGTATAGCATAAGTTAATTCATGAAAACGTATATTGATAGTTACTAAAACACAATTCTACAATGTAGGTGCATGAGCCATGAGAAACATAACATGGCCCAGGGTGGGGAAGGCTCTGGTTTTACACAGGCAGGGAGAGGAGCACTGCCGAGGCAGCCCCTGAGTGAGGCCTGTGAAGATCCAGAGCAAGATAGCTCTAGGCAGAGGCACCAGTAAGGGCCAGGCCCAGAGATGGAGTCTCCTGTGAAGCTAAACAGTTAATAAAGAGGCAGGAGGGCAGTTGCAGGCTAAAGGTCAAGGCCTAGGCGCCATGCATATCATGTGGAGTTACCTAAAGGGGCAATGTGATCTTATCTCAGTTTCTGAAAGGTAACTTTTGACTCCACACAGAGCAGGCTTCTGCCTTCACAGTCTGCAAATCAGGAGCAGATACAAACAGAGCCCAAGACGGTGGCATTCCTCCCATGCCCCCAACACAAGATGCCATCAAATAGTTTCAGTTGAACAAAGCAGAGTTCACGAAACCCATTTCAGAAAACTCAGCGAGAGGACCAGAATCAGCCTGGATTTTTATGATTTGGTTACAAACATCCCTGCCACCGGGGCCAGAGGCAGGCACCCACACTTTTCCTTCTGGACACAAGGCGAATGCTGTGCTGGTGGCACTGGGACTCAGAGCCTTTCACCAGGGTATCAAACTCAAGTGTTTGTTTAAAGATCATTAACTCCCTACCCACAGGGTCAGAGGGCAGAGAAAGTGAGAAGCAGTGTCAAAAGCTGCAGCCCAGATCAATCAAAGGGAAATGCAAGCCTTCTCTGAGGTGGCCTAGGAGGCAGTGGGTGATGGGGGCGGGGTCCTGAAGACTATTAACTCACAGAACATCTACCCTAAATGTACTTGAATCCCTGCCTCTCCCTGGGTCAGCCCTCTACAGCAGATCTGAGGAGGAAAGGGTGTCACAGCTTCTTCCATGGCTCCAGTCTTATTCCTTGTGACCTTTATACCCTCACCCACAGCTCTCAGGGGCAGGAAGGCCTTCAGTCAACCGAGGGCCCCTTTATATGGGTAGGCTGCCATACTCCTCAGATCCTCAGGCACCTAGGAAGCACTCTGTAGAAGGTGGAGTCCCCCAGTCTTCAGTAATACTCTTCATACAGCCCAACTACACACCCTCTGCATCCCATGTGTACAACACACCCATAAGTCACAAGCCACAGCTAGAGGACTCTGGAATGAGTCCTCACACAGTGATTCTGAATGTCCTGTGCTTTGCCATGATTTCCTTCCGGCTTAGGTTTCTTCTTCTTGACAAATTCTTGGTATCCCTAGCACCCAGGGCACTTTGGGAAGGGTTTCCCTATATGCACCCCAAGCAAAGCTGCACACTCTGATCCTGATCCTGCTTTACAGGGCAGTCACCACTTCTACAAGGTGGGTTAAACTCTAAGGCAGTGAACACCCACTGTAGGCCTATCAGTAACTGCCCCGCCCCACCCCGAACGCCAATGTCACCAGTCCTTGATCCTACTGTGCACTCCCTGCAAATGTGCTGCATGTATTCATTCCCTCTCCTTTCCCTTACACATGACTGTGTGCAGGCTTATAACGCGTGCAGTACAAGTTGCCAATCACACTGCCTGTGTGAGGGGCGGGGCTTTTTGAAGGAGTGCACTGTAGATAAGGTACTGAGAACCCTGCAGCTCACTGGCAGGGGACTGCCTGCCATAGCCTTACACTTAGTGTGAGTTGGGCTCCTGTTCACACTTATCTGCAGTGCTTGTGATTATTGCTGGAAGGGCTATGATGAGCCTCTCCTCTCACATGACCTGGTACCTAGATGCAAGATGGGCTCTCAAGGACTCGGATCCTACAGCAGGACTTCAGGGTCCAGGAATGTTCAGTTCTGTAGGTGCAAACATATATTTCTACCATCAGGGTGCGAGACCAGCTGCTATGTAGTCTAGCATTGCTAGATTTCTTAGCATTGCTTGCTGCTCCCACCCAGCGCCAGGCGGGTTTCCCTCACAGCATGCTCTCCTTTCAACAGGCTCATGTTCTCAGGACTGAAATAATAAAGAATGCCTTGCGAGGGCATAAGAGCAGAGAGGAAAATAACTGAAGATCAAGATTCCAAGGGCCGAGACAGGAAATTGTGAAGTAGATAAAGATGGGGACAGGCGGCACGCCACTACTTTGGCTCTCCATGGCACATGCAGACAGAACCACCAGTCACCAGGGAGCTTGCAGTCTACCCTGGGAGGCTATGAATAGAGGGCTGACCTAGACACTAACCGAACAGAAACACACTTTCCTTCCTCTCACTCATTTCTAGTTTTGTGAGACTCTATCCACTCACTCAAGGACCACCAAACATTCCTCATACAATGCAGAATGAGCTAGCACATGTGTATTGCTCAACATGTCTGCTACATTTCTTTCACATATAAGTTCAGAGCCAGGATCTGGGCAAGAAACCAACATTATTGAGTCTATGGATCTGCTACCTGGATATGGGAGCCAGAATTAAATCTTTAACTAATGCATGAGTTAATTGCATGACTGTGGGGAGGTGCAGAGAGAGAAAATATCTCAAAATAATAGCTCTACATTCCCAGACCTTAGGTGAAATGTGTATGCTAGTTCTTCCCGTGTTCACACAGCTATACCCCTGTTGCCTTTCTAGGTAGGTCCAGCCTGGCCTTGTCATGGCCCATCTATGGTAGGCCCTGTCCTGGTTCTCTGGAGTTAGAATGCACAGAGGCTAGGTGATAGGGCTGGGACACTGCTGTACCCTGAGCAGGATTGCACAAGGAGGCTCTATGCCCTGACCTCAGCCCTGCTGTGGAAAGAAGGTGCAAACTCAGTGAGGAAGAGAGGGGGAGGAATATATCAAGCAGGCAAACAATTTTCTAAAACTCAAGTTTGTGCTTGCTAAGCACTTTGGTCCTTTCTCATTAACAAAGAAGCTTTACCATCATCTGGGTCAGTTATTCTACATAAAAACCCTATGAGGCAGGTCAATATTTTTACATTCAATTTTATGGATGAAGAAACAGAGGTTTGTGATGTCTCCAAGGTCACAAAGCAAATAGGCTGAGACTTGGGACAATAAATGCCAGGACTGCAAGGCAGGCCTGACACTCAGTCTCCTCTCCTGAGTAGCTGAGCAGAACCCAAAGCCCAGGCCACTGGAACTGAGCACAGATTGAGCAGCAGTATGCTGTCCACAGAACATACGTGTCCAAAGTTCCAGAGGTGACTGCATACCACCACAACTTTCCTAAACCCACCAAAGCCTTCTGGTGGGTGAGGAAGTAGCTGAGAAAGTAAGACTTGCCTTGAAAGCCTTAGAAGTGCTAGCAGACACAGCCAGGCCTACCTCTCCACAAACTCTCTCTCTCTGAGCCACCATGCTGTCTGCCCTGGCAAAGGGTGGCAATAATCTCATGCAAACTAAGCCTGATGGTTTTCTCAGCTGCACTGCCCCAGCACCCAGTTTGCATTGCAGGTGCATTTTGCTACCTTCATGGAAGAGAGGACACAGAGCCTGCTGCCTGACATACTTCCTCCAGCTCTCAAGTATCTGCAACTTAGTTTTCTGAAGGTTGTATACAATGCTACTGTCTGGAACAACTGGGTTGGGTCTCGCACTACTTTTTTTAATTAAAAAAAAATTTTTTTTAAAGATAGTCTTGTGTAGCCAAGGCTGGCTCTGAACTCACTATGTAGAGGATAAAAACCCTGAACTTCTGATCTTCCTGCATCTATCTTTCAAGTGCCAGAATTACAAGAGTGTGCCTCCACATCTGGTTCATGTGGTGCTGAGGCTTGAACCCAGGTCCTCATGCAAGCTCTCTACCACATCTTATGATAGCTAATCTTGGCTGTGAGTGTGATTACATCTGAATTAACTAAAACCCAAGCGGTTGGGTACACCTGTGAGGGATTTTTCTTAACTGAATCATTTCCACCTTTAATCCTGACTTTTTGAAATGGGAAGACCCACCTTTAATCTGGGTCACATCTACTGGTGGCACCTATATAAAGGGCAGAGAAGAAGGAAGCTTGTGCTCTTTGCCTGTTTGCCCTTGCTCTTGCTGGCAAGTTCATTCCTTCACTGGCATTAGATACTGCTTCTTCAGGATGCCAGCATATACTGAAGAGCACCTGAGACACCCAGTTCTGGACCGAG